GCCTGCTAGCCTGGGCTCCTCTGTGGCCTGCTAGCCTGGGCTCCTCTGTCCCGGGTAAACGCCTCCTAACTGAGTGCTGCCTGGGCCCGGGCTGCCTCTCCATGCTGGAGGTAAGAAGGCAGCTTGGTTCTGCACAGGGACACACGGAAAAGCTCATCTCTGTTCTGAATGCTAAAATAAGGTCATTTTTGGAAATTTAGACTTTTTTTTAGGAAAAAAAATCTTCACGACTTAGTCAAGTTTTGCCCAATGTCACACACCTCAGGGGTCTGTCATTAGTACCTAATACCAGGGGGTTGGTTTTATAATATTTGTTTGTCAAAAAGGCAATTATGTTTTTGACAGGAGGGTTTTCAAGCGTGGTTATATTTCCCTGACCTGGGTGAGGGGAAGCTGGGGGCCAATACTTGCTCTGGAACAGCCTGAGCACTTTTGCTTTTTACATAAAATAAAAATACCCCGACTCTGGTCCTGGCATTTGACATTTTCTTTAATTCACAGCAACCGAGCAGTTCTTTCAAGAACTCATTTTATTACACAGAAGCTGTGTTTTCTGCAGACTCAAAGCACAGGCTTCTACTTCTCTCCAGGTGTGACCGGCTCTGTCCCCACCCTTTAGAAATCGTGACTCCCTCGTCCCCTCCCCCACACCATCGCCTGGTGTCACCAGCGGAGGAGCCCGGATCTCTCACCTGGGCCCTCTGGGAGGGAGAGATCTGCAGCTCTTGGGCTCCCGGGGCAGGGGCTGGGGCTTCCTCAGGAGTGCGGCAGGAGGCCTGTGTGGAGAGTCCAGAGGGGATGTTAGAGCCAGGGGTACTCGGGTACTCGGTACTCTGCAGTGTCCAGGTTTGGGGCTGGAGACTTCAGGTCTGGGATGGTAATTACCTTGCCCGACAGATGCTGCATTTCAGGGCCCTTGAAACGTTAAACTATTGATTGTGATTCTAAATCTCCCTCCCAGGGACTTGCTCTGGTGCGGTCCTCTGACGGGCTGATAGAACTTTCTGCAGAGTCTCACATACTTTTTAATATGCTGCCTACTTTGGCTTCAGGGGCCCTGGGGGGAGTACGGTAACAGCCTTTCACTTATCCTAAACTGGAAGACCTGAGTTTTTAAAACTCCCCGAAGAGCTGTAAGAAAATATCTAGCTGGGGATGCCTAGCTCAGCCGGTGTTCACAACTTTATTCTTAAAGGGTCTCCAGCACTTTGGTCCATGCTGGAGATTCAGAGACAAAGACACAGCACTTGGCTTAAGATGCCCCCCTAGGAGGAAACAGAGAGAAGTGGCTGCCGGGGTAGGGGGGAGTTGGGGAGGGGGGGAGGGGGAAGTGGGGGGAGGGGAGAGAGGGGGTGGGGTGCAATACCCGCCCAGCACAGGTGCTCAGAGCCTCAGCGCTGAGTTCCTGTATGTGTATGTACAAATGTCACAATATTTGCATTATACATGTGTTACAAATAAATATGTGCATTTAAATAAATGGATGTTAATACTTATGTATTGTAAGGGCATGCCACAGTCTCTAAGCATCTGGGCACGTACGTCCCTTGTAAACTATCACGATCTGGTGGATTTCTGCACCAAACACAGATAGGGACAGAGACAGAAAGTGAGAGAGACAAAAGATGCTTCAGAAATGGCGAGAAAGGGACGCTGGACAGATAACCGTGACTCAGCGAGGGATTAAATGGGTAAACAAAGGCGTGTTTAGTCTGCTCACTGACCAATGTCCAGTGTTTGTGTTCCTCTTTTCAAGCACTGGCCCAAATCATTTACATGCACAGCAGAACCAAATACTATGGTAGATGTCTTACCGAGGAGGTGGGAATGGAGTCTGTAAGAGGAAGAGAGTTAGAAATTAAATTATTGTTTTTAGAGCAGGGCCCATCGTCAGGTGCCTAAACCCTTCCCCCGCCTCCCCTCCTAGAACAAAAGGCCTATCTGGCCTGCTCCAGAGTTCCTCTGGAAAGACCCTAGTCCGGCAAAGCCTTCCAGCAACCTGTGGAATCTCCCTCCCCCCATGCCAAGTATAAGAACAAGCCCTCCCACCCCCGTAGCCGTCATCTTTGCCAAGGTGGGGCTCAGTCCTTGTTCATTATATTTGGCCTGAGTCTCTCCTGGTCTCCTCTCTGGGTACACCGCTGGACTTCCTTCACCAATGGCTAACAATCTTTACCAGTAGAATCACAGCCATGTCCAGACTTCTAGGACACCTTTTTTAAGCAATATTTAAGCACTTACATTGGCTATATCTCTGTGCTTCTAAAGAGTAACAAACACCTTTTGTTGATTTCTCTTACCTTGTTCTTTTTTATGGATTTGTCTCCTAAAACATAAGAGGGGACACGAGTGAATTAATGGGAAATGTCATCAAGCACCATTTTTATATTCGCTTAAATGGAAATCATTTCTACTTTTAATAACATTGATAACAACGTCAATTAACATTTACTGAGATCTTATTGGGTGCCCAGCGTCCTGCTAAATGCTGCAGGTATTGGGTCTTAGTGAGTCCTCACTCTTGGTCTGTTCATGAAGATCAGGAGGCAGAGAGAAGTTAGATATCTCTCCTGCCAGTCACCAAATTAGTGGATGGTAATCAAGATTTGATTGCATGTGGCATGACATTTGAGGTCTTGCAACCACTGATGCCTGTTTCCCATCTGGAATTGACACACATACACACACACACACACACGTTCAAATTTCTACCTAGCACCTTCATGGGTATTTCTAAGCAGAGAAAATAGCATCACAGAATTTTCAATATAGAAGAGTTTTCAAAGACCCAAGAATCCAACTTGTTTATTCTGGGGGAGAAAAAAAAAAAAAAAAAAAAAAAAAAAGGCAATCTGGGTGAGACGATTTCTCAAGACCAAGGGACCCTAGAAAAAGCCCACGTGAGGTCTGGAAAGATTTTCAGAATCTCTAGGTATTTTTGTTTCCAAAGTTCAATTCAATTTTAAAGATAATTACCGAGTTCCTACTCTGAGCTAAACACACACCAGACTGGGGCTACAAAGACAAACACAGCTTGAGCGAGACCCCTTGCTCCACGGGGGTCTCTTTACAGGCCAAGCTCCAGGCTCTGGGGACAAGGTGCTCAAGGTGACTGGCCCTGTCGCTGATGCCATGGTCTTCATTCTGAAGTGGGTGGATGTGCATTAAGACATTGTGGACAGTTAATTTGATGAGGATTTCAAGTAGGGAAGGACATGGTATTAAAGAAACTTAAGTTAGTCTGGGGTGTCAGAAAGGGCCTCCCAAGGAAGCAGCATTTGTGTCTCTCAGAGTAAGTGTGGTATAATGAGTGCTACTTTACAGGGCTGTTGGGAAGTCACTGAGACTATCCCTGCGTCAGTATGGGGGACGCAGACCTCGACTACACCTGTCTGTGGCCAAACATCGAGTCTCCTTTCCTCATTTGTGCAACAAGGAGGTTGGACTAGTTTAAAAGTGTGCTCTGAAGAGCCCCTGGACTCCCCTTTGCAAACCCCCAGCAGCAGGGGCCTGGCTCTGGCTCCCAACACATCCTCGGGGGCCTCTCTTCTGCCTGTTTTCTGTCCTATCTCCTCTTAAGATCTCCTTTGGTAAAAGGTCCAGCTGACCCCAAACTACACAGTACTACGTCAACACAAGATGCTCTGGATGAATTTAACGGCTCTTCCAGGTCTAAAATAATGACTGTATTGAATAAAACTGCCATTCTGCTTGTTTGTTTTCATTTGCGGGAAGCACTTTAAATGTTCAGGATCGACTTCCTTATATGGATTCCAAATCCTGCTTGCACACAGAACTAATCAGATGTTCTCAGCGTTGTGAAAATAGAAAATATGTTAGATTTTTGGTTATTTCAATGATGTTCCCAAAAAGCGTAGGCCACGGTGATGCTGGCTGAAGGCCCCACATCAGAAAACATAAATTAACCTCCTCCCAGTTCACTGTGCATTGGCTGCACCTCCAGAGCTCCCCGTGGACTTGCTTGCAGCTGGTGTTGACTTTCCCCATGAAACTGGCTTTCTGAGAGGTCTTTTTTCATAGGTACCACTACGTCTATTGGGGATCAATTGAATTCACTGGAAAAAAAAAACTCAGTGAAGAGACTGAGTTCCTAGAATTCGATAAGAACATTTCACTTGCTGTTGTGGAGATATCTTTCTAGCCTGCTTTAGTGGCTGTGAGCTTGGACTAAGGCATCCATCTTCTTTTTATTTATTAATTTATTATCAATCACATGCCCATGCATGTGTTGGGCATAGATTCATTTTTAATCTATTTATTGACATAGGTGTCAAGGAGTGTAATGTCAGCAAACAGAGTTGCTGTTCCCACATCACTGACCTCCCAGTGACAGAAGATAGAAAAGAAACAAAAGTATAAATAAATAAACAATCACAGGAAAAATGACACAGGTGAGGGAGATACCAGGGCAGGGGTGGGGGGTGAGCCCTGAGGTGGGGCTGCTGCTTCTAGACAGGCCTGAGGTGAGGGGATGAAGCTGGGGCCTGAGGAGTGAGGCAGCGTGGGAGCCGGATGCCTGGGAGCCGCCAGTGTAAAGGGCCTGAGGTGGTGTCATAGTCTGTAAACTGAAATTGGGTAACTTATATAAAAAAAGAGATTTGTTTCTTACAGTTCTGGAGGCTGAGAAGCCCACCTTCTTGCCAGGAGGGTGGGAGTACAGGGTAGGAGGGTTCTGGAGGGGGGGACTCTGCCGTGTTCAAGGGCATCTCACCCCAGAGCTGAGCCTGCTACTGTGCCAGATCATGTCTTCCTCCCTCTATGAAACCACACGTCCCCTTCCACCATAGCCCTTCAATCCAGTAGCTCACTGATCCACCCCGGCGGGCAGAGCCTTCCTCACCCAATCCCCTCTCAGTGGCCCCACTTTTCAACACTGCCACGTGGGAGACTGAATGTCACCATGAGCTGGGGATGAGATGTCCAACCCTTCCAGGTGGGTGAACAGGAGGGACGGGAAGGCGTAGAGGAGAGGCTTGAGATAAGCGGCCTCCAGATCACACGGGGTCTCATCACCAGGGCGAGGACATGGCCTTAACCACAGCGAATCTCTCTTGAACCGCTTCACTGGGGTTTTTCTCTTTATTGATTTATAAAGAGATTTTCACATTTTCACTAACAGTGTGCAAAGGATCCCTTCCCCCATGTCTTCCCGAACACGTGCCACCTTCTTGTGTTTTTTAAATAGTAGCCGTCCCAACAAGTGTGAGGCGACATTTCACTGTGACTCTGATTTGCATTTCCTATGTGATGCCGAGTGAAAGGCTGACTGCCCCTCATATGGAACGTTGGCCACCTGTACGTCACAGCAGAGACACCACCCGGGCTCTTCGCCCACCTTCCAACCAGGTCACTCATTTTCAGCTGTTCACTCGTGAGAACCTTGTGTGTCCTGGGTGTTAATCCTTCATCCGGTGCTTGGTTTACTGATATTTTGTCCCTTTCCACAAAGTGCCTTTTTGTGCTGTTGGCTGTTTCCTTTGCTGTGCAGGAGCTGTTCAGTTTGATGACGTCCCACTTGTTTATTTTTGCTTTTGTTGCCTGTTTGGTCTCATTTCCGCAAAGTCATTGCCAAGACCAGCGTAAGGAGCTGTCCCCTATGTTTTCTTCTAGGTGTTCTAGGTCTTACCTTTTAGTCTTTAATTCATCCTGAGCTCATTCCCTTTCATGGTGTGAGATGAGGGTCCAATCTACTCTTCTGTGGATTGACATCCAGTCCCCTCGACACAGTTCAGAAGAGACTATTGGGCTTGGCACCTGTGGCTCAAGCGGCTAAGGCGCCAGCCACATACACCTAAGGTGGCTGGTTCGAATCCAGCCTGGGCCTGCCAAACAATGATGGCTGCAACCAAAAAATAGCTGGGTGTTGTGGCGGGTGCCTGTGGTTCCAGCTCCTCGGGAGGCTGAGGCAGGAGACTTGCTTGAGCCCAGGAGGTGGAGGTTGCTGTGAGCTGTGATGCCATGGCACTCTACCCAGGGGGACAGCTTGAGGCTCTGTCTCAAAAAAAAAGAAGAGACTATTGTGTCCCCATTGTATATTCTTGATGCCACCGACAGAAATTAATTTACTATATGCAGGAAACTTTTTCTGGGCTTTCCACTCTGCTCCACTGGTCCAGGTGTTTTTATGCTGGTGCCTCACTGCCCTGGCCACTATGGTCCTGTAAGATAATTTGAAATTGGGAAGTGTGATGTCTCCAGCCTCATTCTCTTATTCAAGGTTGCCTCAGCCTCTCTGAGTCTTTTGTGTTAATCCTGGGGATTCTTTCTGACACACTGTCCAGGTGTCCTGTGTCTGCCTTATAAGGAAGGTTCTCTCCAGCATCACTTACTATCCTCCTCCACTAGAGATTTGGGGTGTGATGCTGCAGCACCAGCAGCAGCAACCTTGAGGGTTTCAGCGGCATCACACATGCTGCTGGCGATCTCTGTCCCACAGAGCTTCACGAAATCACTGCTCAGATAACCAAGATCCTTCCAAAATGTTGAAGGGGACTTAAAGGAATTTACAGGTCAGAAAATCAGATCAACCAGGCAAAGTAACTTATCTACCATCATACAGCTTTGGTGGTAATTCAGCAAACAAAATTTTTCTTTTTTATTTTGGAGCCTTTTAAAATGGAGTAATAACAATTCAGGTAGTCTCTGTATATGGAAAAGAGGATGAGATTTGGAATTGAATTTCTTCAGATTGCATCTTGATCTTGCTGCTTATCACGGGCGGGGCCATAGCAGATACTCAGTAGATGTTTGTGACATAAACAGAGGGGCTGAGGAGTGAATGACTTTTAATTCACAGGAATTTGCTTGCAGAACTGAGGAGCTAGTAAGCGGCTTCTGCTGGTGCTGAGTTTCTATCTCAGCCCACACCTGTAGTCGCTGTTATGCAATGAAAAGCAGAGGGAAAATGGAAATTCACACTCCTGAGGAAGCACACAAATATTCTCAAATGCCTGAAAAGTTTCTTATGTGTCAAACAAAAGGATCCGGAGGATTGTTCTTCAAGGTCACTCGGTCTCTGAGCCGGGAAAGCAGCCTCGCTGAGAAGCCGGGCGCGCTCGCCACCTGGCGGCCGCAGGTGTGAACTGCACCGTCTGCCTGAGACTGATTTGAGCCTTGAAAGAGCAGGCAGGTCTCACCCCTGCCGCGCAACTTACTGTTTTGGGGAGGTAGGTAGAAGTGAGCACAGCCTGGCTGGAGGACTGATGGACCTGGGCTTGACTGTTTCGTCCCCAACACATTCTGGCAAAACCACGAAGAAGTCGTCAACCTCACAGTGTTCTGGGAGGGTAGAACAAGGCTCTTGGG